TATATGTTAAAATAGCATATTTATGTCATGCGGCAACACTCGCATTCAGTCTGATCCCTGGCCCCTTTGCCTTTTGGAGCATTGATCCTATTCAGTGCTAAAAAGAAGATGCTTCTTTACAGTGCAAAGGATGAGGAACAAGTTGTCTCGGTCCAGCCTTCCCTCTGGGTCCCACAGCAGCCAGAAGCTGCTTGTTTTATCTCTTAATCCCTGGGGCAAGCAGAAGAGAACGTTTAGCTCTGCTAAGGCTTAACAAAGACAAGGGTGGGGAACGCTTAGCAATGAATGGCTGCACTAGCTTAGAATAAAAATTTCACCTCATTTGCACAGGGAGCAGGATTTCTGCATGACTTGGCTTTGTTGTCGCAGGAAATGATCAAGCTCAGTGCATGTTAGATACGATCTTCACCTAAGTAAACCTGAAAAAATGTCTCATGAATTGTGCCAGTATTAGTAATAATTGAGATCACATGTATAAGCTGACTGACAGCCAGATTTCTTGCTCGACATCTCCAGGGGTGCATGTGCACACATTCCAGGAGTCTTTTTATTTTAGATTGCTGTCATATTATTGTGATTCAGGTAGGATGGTCCACAGAATAAGAATAAGCTGAGCAAAAGCTAATGCAAGTAGTTCAAGTTCCTCTATAGGTAAAGAAAGGAAAGAGAGTTCAGGTGATTAGACAGGTCTCACAGGTGCTGAAATGCCACTTAGAGGTGCCTAGGTACCTCCACTGACTACTCAGGACCTGCCTTGGGAACAGCGTGGTGGGGAGGAGGATCGGAACCAGCGTGTTTTACAGGACCAGTGTTAGAACGAACGGATAAAGAGAGGCGATAGCCTGTTTTCCCTGAACTGTTTCCCTTGGTTCTGCACACCTTCTGCCACCTTGTTCAGTCAATTTTAAATGGCTCAGATAAAGTGGCTTTAACCCCTTTTGCTCAGCTGGTGCTCAGGAAGCCTGAAAAGAGTCATTAGGGTCATATTTACCCCAGCGTGGAGGCTACACGCAAAACCTTCCAGACCTCTCAGGGCCCCTCGTGAGCGTGGGCTGGGTACCGCGAGCATCCTGCGAGGGCTCGTGTCGAGTACGCCACGGCAGCGATCCAAGAACGAGCCGCAGAGCTCATACCTCTCCATTAAACGCATTTTATAACAAGTCCAGGCCAGAACTAGAAACACCTCACCCTGTAGGATAAGGGACATAAGGAGATTTCCTGGAGCCCTGCACTTTTCCTCCAATTGTGAGGATTAGTTTTTTTTTTCAAATGAGATATACATCTATATGGAGTTTTGGGTGGGTGATGAAATGTTAATCTGTACTAAACAAACTTCTTTAATCTAGCAGATAAGGAAATATATTATTAATGGAAACTCATGTATTTCCCTAATGTGCGCTTTTTAAGAGAAAACATTTAGTTTTTTCTTTTTTAACAGTTTTGTTATTCAACCTTGTATAAAAATGTTCTGTGGTTGCACCAGTCACATTCTATTAGACAATATAACACAATCTGACTTAGTGGCATTTCAGTGGATAATTTGACAAAAATCATTTCTCTTAAAGAAAAAATGCAGCCAAAACAAACACAAAAATGAGCATTACAAAAATTGTGATGTGCTGGGAGAAAAGCCCCACAGATACAAAGCCATAAAGGTCAGGATCTGCTACTCAAGTCTTGTTTGCAAGTAAAAATACCATGTTAACGCATGACTGTCAAAAACCTAAGTGAGCCAGACAGACTTCTGACAAATAATTCTGACATATCTCATAAGCTGAAAAGTGCCTTTTTTTTGCCTCTCTCATCTTTTGAAACGTTTCCGTCCTGCTTACAGATGTGCAGAGAGAAAGAGAGTTAGCAGAGGCATCAGAACAACAGGGTGTTGTTAAAAATAACCTGTACCCAGCACTATCTTTTGTGTGCTCTCTGGGGAATGCATTAACTGTCAGCAGTCTAACTTACTAACTAACCGTCCTGAATTTGCAATATATAAAATGATTTGCTTCGCTTTTGCAAACATTTGTTTTGATACATTATTAAGAAAATTAGAAGATGTTCCCTGTTGTTCTCAAGTCTTAGGCAGAGCTCCATCCTAGTGTAAAGGAGACTTTGGTGAAAATAAGGAAAAGAATAAAGAAATGAATTCTTTGCAGAGCCAAAAATCCATTCATTTCTGCATATTTCATATAAAAAGAAAAAAAAAGATTGAAAAGGCTGAAAATTTTCAACAATGCAAAAGAGAAATCTGTTTTTGTCACAGGTGAATTATAAGAAAACGTCTTGGTTTTGTTAGATGTATTGTGGCAAGGTTCCTTGGTCCAGGATAGACTATTTGGTCAGAAACGCAGACCTTAACATACCCAGCGCTTCAGGCGCTGCAGAGCATGGAGTCTGCCTGCACGAGAACAGGGGTGGTAACCTGAGTCACCTATATCCTAGAAAAAAGTTCAAAATTTCTTATTTTGCAAGTTATAACTCTTGGTTTTTTGGCCACTCTTAGGAAACAACCCTTCAAATTTGCACAATATGTTGTCATGTCAAACAATTCAGTCAGATTCAAATGAAAATTAAACAAATACATTAAATTACTTGTGCACTAAAGCAAAGGAGATAAATCCTTCTCTTGTTTACACGAATTGGACCGTGCGGTTGACGTGAGGCTATGATGCTGTCTTTATGTTATCGCTGTCATCCTTGTGCAAAATCTTTGAACCTTTTACCACGAAAAAGGGTCTAACAATTGTGAAAATGCTAACAAACTTCCCATCAGGAAATGCTATCTTGTATAAATAGGATCTTGCACTTTAAAGCTGGCAAAGTTTAGCCTTAAGGAAACTATATTTTTCAATTCAAATGTATCCGTATTCTTGTTTGCTTATACAGGGACTGTTCAGTGGGGAATTATCTTGTTAAAAGCTAATCGTATACAGTGTGTGTGTGGTGTAAATATATGGCCATTTAAAATTCAAAAACAGAGTGTGGAGGTCATTGTACAAACCTTATGTGCCTCCGCAAGTATGAATGAATTACCCAACCGCTTTTATTCTTTCCTCGGTGCTCACATTACTATTTGCAGCTGGGAGCTATGCCGTAAGTTACCTTTATATTAGCACGGAAAATTCCAAGGCTTTGAAAACAAAATATTTCTTCTTCTTTTACTCCTGGTTTTATTTGTAGGCTGTAAAAAAATACAGTGTGTCTGTCGATCAGAAGCTGATTCATATGCCAGAAACTTAGTAAGCTTAAGTGTATTTAATGTAGTGTGACTCTCAATAAAAGGTAACCTGTGGATGTAGCAGCCTCTGACCGCTGTCGTCCGAGAGGTTATTTGTATGTTGCCCGTCAGACTTGTGCCAGGCGGCTCTGCTGCTCGGATGGGCGGAGAGGTCCCTCTTGCTGGGGTTTGTTCTGCCGCAAGGCTGCATTGCTGAAGGTTTTTAGCGGCGGCGTTGCTATGTCTGCAGAGAGCTGTAGGCGTAGGTAAAGCAAACGGCTGCTTAGGGCAGGAAGCTGCTGAGGGTGGCAAAGCAGCTGCAGCACAATTGGCAGCTCTGGGTAGACCCTGTCTCTGCTCACCCTCCTTCCTGGGCGGCAGCCAGACGGCACACCTAGCTCTCTAGGGTCTTTCCTCTAGCCCGTCCCCTTCTTCTTCCTACGACAGGAACCCAGTCTAGGTCTTAGTGCCTCATCCTGGGGGTAGCCAAATTCAGATTTGCTTGCAATGCTGAGATGCGCTGAGCTGGCTCTCTCTGAATGTACCAGTCTCCCCAGGCAGCTCTGCTGGTAGGGTTGCAGGGGGAGGAGCGGGGATGCCCCTTCCCAGTCTGCCTTTGGCTGCAAACTGTCGCCATCGCAAGGAAACTCTCATTCCCTCTCCCCTGGGTAACTCTCGTGGGGAGGGATATTCACCTAGGAGATGCCCAGATGGAAGAGTTTTAAAAGGATGATTTAAAAGAAATTACAGCGTGGTAACTAATCTCCTGGTGGTGAAGTCGATCTCCAGGGCAGTAGGAGACATGGCAGTGGCCAAACAGAGGAATATTCTAGCTAAGCTACTGGATAAAGGAACTGCAAGTGTCTGGGCTCGACCTGAGGATACCTACTGGAATTAGCAACAGAGGCAAAAATTTAGGCACCTGGGGAGCGTGTAACTTCCTGTTGTCTGGGACACTCCTGGCACAAGCCCTGTGCTGTGCTGGTAACATGTACATGTTCCTTCTAAATGTTCAGTTCTGAATACTGTTCAGGAATGGATATCACACTAGGGAACCGTCTGGTCTGTCTAAAACGGTAATTGCTTATTCCTTCTACAAAGTCTGTGGAAAAGCTTTACCAACCATGTAAGGCACTGTACTTGTAGGCATCTGGTTACTCCGCTTTCCTTTTTTGCCTTGCTTGATTCTTATTTGACATTACAACCCACACCTGGTGCACTTAAGAGCGACATACATTTGTGTGTAAGCTTCTTGACAGCACACCCTCTTTTTTGGGTATTTTTGATTGTTAACATATTTTGACAAGTTCATGTGACAGCTGTACCTGGTGGTACAGGCAGACATTTTTCTCTCCTTCACCCTGAAAATTTCTAACAATCCTGATTTGGCTTTCACAGTGTCTACACGCAGTACTTGACACTAAGGGTAAGGCACAGGCGAGCATGTAAAGGGTAAGACACAGGCAAGCATGTAAAATTGATGTTTTCACTTCTTGCCAGATTTTCTAACTAAAAAAGATTTCCTCCTGGCAGTTCTGTCTCCAGATATTACCACCCCATCTTCTAAAATTGTAAAAGCTCCTGTATATTTGATATCTTGTAGACTCTCACCCAGTTTCAAAGGGAGATTATATTTGCTGGGCAGGTTGTCAATAGAAGATAAAATATGAATGAAATTATAATTTTATGGCAGATACTGTAGCTGTAGCTGTCACAAGTACTCTGTATCCTCAATAGCCACATGAAAAAACATTCCTTAACAATATTTGATTGGCTTTTGTTCCAGCTAAGCCAGGAAAAAATCCTCAAAATTATGAACATGGTGAAAAATAAAGAAGTGAGCATTGAAGGAGCTTTGCATTTGGCACAGAAAGAGGTGTATGCTGAAAAGGTAAGGTCACTCCTTTGATCTATTTTGCAAGACATTCAAACGTAAGAGCATACTCTGGAAAGCCTGCTCGTGTGTTAGGAGCATATCTGTACTTCTTTCAAAGATGTAGTCCCAATTTGTATAAACATATACACACCAGTTTATAACCAAACAGATCAGGTACTGGTGGCTAGACTCTGCTGCCACAGTTTTGCTGCCAGTAGCCTAAGGAATCGATATCCCCATGTAAACGCTGAGGCTGCAGTGATATCATTACCTGGGCTGAGTAGTTTAAATCTAGATCAAAGGTGTTCACGTATTCATTAATCTCTGAATGCAGCATAAAAGCACCGTAACAATAACAGTACGTAGGGCAAAGTCCTTGGCTACTCACCGACGCTATGAAGCACCTCGGAAAACCAGTGGATCTTAGGGGACTCCTAGTGTTGCGTTGTCCTTGGACGGCGTGTGGTTATCATAAGAGGTTCTGTGATGGCTCATTGTTATGCATCTCCACAGGAACGGCCACACAATGCAAAGCCCAGGCCAGTGTGACTTGAATTCCAAAATTGCCCGTGGTTGGCTGTTACCCTCTGTCAGCCAAGAGTAGGATCAGTTTGAGAGCACAGCGTGTACATGAGATATGTACAGCAGTGCATGAGCCTTGTCCTCCGCTCGTTACTCCCAGTATTCCAGTATCTCTTTTATGGCAATCTTCCATCCTTTGTTATCAGAGAATTGCCAGAAGCGAAATCCTTAGAGAACCTTTCACTTTCTATTTCCCCTTCTGATCTGGATTTTTGAACCTGCCTCCCTTTGGGAGCATCTGCAGGAAAACTTGAAATCTTATGATATAAAAATGGCTCAATCTTGACAAGTTTTGCACCATAGGAGCTGTTAGTGATTTTGAGATGATCCTGATGCATCTTTCACTTTTAAAAATAACTTTCTAAACTGCTCATTAACCATTTGACAGGAAAGAAGTGGAAGTAGAATGAGAAAGAGAAGCAAAAATAAGTACTAATAAAGCAGCAAAACTTTTGCAGGAAGGCTGCAGCCAACAGCAGATTAAGCTCAACAATATAAGACTATATGGACATATATTCTCAGAATAAGAAGAAAATGAGTTCAAATGAGAAAACTGAAATAGCTAAAACTAGCTAAAACTCAACTAGCTAAAATTAGCATTACTATCATTTTTTTGGTCTTGGCTCTGGGTGATTTCTACTGATTTTCATTCTAAGCTTATACTGCAAGGAAAGAAATAACTGCCTGAGAAACAGATTGTGATGCTTGCAGTTATGTGACATCTTCACCTTTTCTATATATGGCAGCTTAACGTTTCTGGACTTAGCCATCTGCAGAAGTGCCCAGCATTCACGAGTCCTATCACATGTTTGAAACCAAAAGTAAAGATTCTGAAACTACAGAGTTCCTCTTTAGGGTACAGGAGGAAAAAGTAAGCTGATAGCAAGACTTTAGGAGATAAGTGTTGGTTTTAAGAACTTACAGCACTGTTAAATGAAGCAGAAGAGATGGAAGAACAACTACAACGTAGATTTCAGCTTCCCCCTAATTTTATGACACCAAAGAGGCCCTGTCACTGCAGGTGAAATGAAAAGATGCGCCTTTGTTGCAGAGGAAATGTCCTGATTAGCAAGACAGTTTTGTATAGATTAACTATTCTAGAAGCAACATGATAGAAGAGGTTCCTTCTCTAGTTCTGCTATATTAAAGTTGTTATGATAACTAATTATTAGAACAAAATCAAATATAATATAGCTGTATCATGACCTTTCCTTCACTGCGTCAACACTGAGTGCGCTTTCCTGAAGAATATCAAATTAGTTATTGGCCATGCATGCGGTAGAGCTGGCATTAGAGACCAGATGACAGATTGCATACCCTCATACAGTGTGAACAAATATCTATCTGCCTTTTTACTGCACTCTGTTCAGGAGTTTGTAAATATTTTTCTTTAAAGTGGATATGGTCTTTTTTTGCTAGTCAGTCTGTTTAGTAAACCGCTTATACTCATCTGTTTTGAAATGTACTTAGTACAATTCCAAGGGCTCTGCTCTTCTCTCCCTGCTTGAACCCTGCCATCCTATTTTCAGCTCTCCCTTTGCTTCCCATCCCAAGCTTTGATCCCTTCATTAGTTCAGCAGAAGTTGTGGATATTTTACAGTTGTGAAAATCAGGCCAAGAAGGCACTTCCACACATCGCCACAGCTCTTCTACAAAGCCTCCAGCATTGCTTGAACACTGTTCACAGAGGGAGATTTCACCTAAGAGCATTACTGAATGTAATGGATAAAGATAATACAGTGTGGGCATATTGCTTTCTATTTTGTTTTTCAGGATTCGCAGGATTTGCTCACTGGCTCACAATTTAACTTCAGTATCTACAAATACAAACACTATCGGTGGCAGAAGCGAATTTTGCAGGTAATTTTATAAATTCTTTCCTTTGAAGAAATACATAAAACTACATTATGCTCCATAAATGATAAAACTTGTTTAACATGTTCTGTGGTTCAATATATGACCTCAAATAAAATCTACCAGAGCAGCACAAGATACTGAACCAGCTTTCTACCTTCAAGACCAAAAATATTCTGGAAGTAGTAGGTGAAACTTCCTCTACAGAGCCCCTGACAGAGCTGTAGAATGGACTTGAAGATCTAAGAGAAGATCTTTTCACCTCTAAATATATGATTCATCGCAAAGATATTTGACTATAATAGATTCCACCTGGGAGTTCTTATTTATTAGTTATCAATCGTAAATGCATATATATGATTTAAATGTGCTCAAACATTTGTCCCCTTTGACAGGGCGTCACCTCAGCTGCAGTCTCCGTGCACTTGAAAACATGTTCCTCGGGATACTCAGAAACGCAGGTCTCATTTAAAGTAATTGCAACCCAGGCATTCCTAATGCCCACCCACATTTTGCAAATCTGTCCCAAAATGTTGACTTCGCTAGTCATTAGGGTAAGATTTAATAACTTGGTTTCTAACACATTCGTTTATTTTCAAAAATTAAAGTAGATTTTTTAACAGGTTCACAAACCTGCCATACCAATAAGAAACTGTGTCACATCCCCTAAAGAGATACAATTTGTTTTATTTTTCATAGCCTAGACTAGGCTCTCATGAGGTGTAAATTGAAGCAGGTTTACTGACTTCAGTGGAGTCAATCCAATTAACTTAATTCCAGCTAAGAATGCAAAGCATTGTAAATAAAGTTTTAATTTAAAAATAAGTCTTTCTTTGCCGTAGATACCTATCCATCACAGCTTTCATGTTACGTGCACTTCACACATAGTATGTTTCTCAGCTAACGGTGCTATGTGAGCTGACTAGAAGCTGGGGACATCCTCTGGGAAACATTTAAAGATTCCGATAGGGGTTTTAAGGAAATTTTCCTTTTTGATCCTCGAACTCAGTCCACCAGCATACAAAGGAAGAATTGCGGTTTCGAGGGCTGACAGTCTAGGATCTTTGGGAAACATTACATTCCTATGTATGCTAAAATAAAAATGTAGATTTCAAGTCAAATACCTTATTGACTTACTCCGCTCATAAGGTTATTAGGTTTTTTGGTTTCACTCAGTGTTGATGATTATCTTTCTACTGTTTCGCCAAGCAGACATTCCTTTCTACTCCTTCACTGAGATTGTATCATGCATGATCAGAATTTTTTTCCAGAGGAAGGTTTATTTTACAGACTATGCATTTCATCTCTGGTTACTCTATTCTGTGATTTTTTTTTTGACATTGTGAACCAATAAGGCTTTATTAACTCATTGTGTTGTAATGGGACCACATTTGCACCATATTAGAACAAACATTTGTCCGTAATACCTGACAGCGATTTCCTGATTCTGTAAAATCAGTGACTAAGACCTCATTTTGTTTCCAGGAACCTCTGTTTCACACAATTTTTCCTACAGTTTGAACAAAATGTGGTAGTGATTATGTCCAAATCATATATGCTAGAGGGTTTTTTTTGTTGTTTGCAATTGTTGATATCCATAAATATCCACCAATGTTTGGCAATCTCTTCTCCGTGGTGCCCAGTGACAGGACAAGAGGCAATGGGCAGAAACTGAGCCACAGGAAGTTCCATCTCAACCTGAGAAAAAACTTCTTCACTGTGAGGGTGACAGAGCACTGGCACAGGTTGCCCAGAGAGGTGGTGGAGTCTCCTTCGCTGGAGATATTCAAAAGCCGTCTGGATGTGATCCTGGGCAATATGCTCTAGAGGTCCCTGCTTGAGCAGGGGGGTTGGACTAGATGATCTCCAGAGGTCCCTTCCAACCTAAACCACTCTGTGATTCTGTGATTTAAAAGATTATTTGGTTAGACATAAAGCTGATAGCAATATGGAGTAAGTTATAGTGGGTGTGGAAGATATCAGTTTGGAAATTTGGAGTAGTTTAATTGTACTTCCCTAGTTACCAGCAGCCTTCAAGAGTTAGAGGTGGCAATGAGAATGGTTCTGCTCTGGAGATTTCCCACGATAAACAGAAATGAGGAAAAGGCCACAGCAGTAGCATTTGCTTGGCATAGGCTGCCCTACACGGATGAAATGTGCCAGGAATCATTTATGACCAAAGGTAAATATCTAACTGAGGCAAGATCTGGATCTGACATGCTTCTGAATTTGTCTTCTCTGTAGGCCAGGTTCACTAAAGTCAGATAATATTCACATCTCATCGTATCAACAAAGCTGTTTCTGCTCAGTAGGGACTGACATACAGAATATGTACTGGAATCCATCTATACCAGTATTTAACACTAAATATAGATTGTGCACTGGAAAAGGAATAATATTCTTTTGGAACAAGAAACTTTTAATTGTTACAACTGTGAGACAGCAATAAAATAATTTTATTGACTTTTAATATCACTCCCTTCACTCTGTATACATAGCCATACCATATGTCTATCTCTATATACTATATATATGTATATGTATCTATATATAGGCAAGAAATCTGTGTGTAGGTCACATCTAAAGCAAAACACAATAATGGTTATGTCAGAAAGTCTATCTCACAGTAGAATCCTTTTTTTCTGACACAGAAGCTGCTCGTATAAAAATAACCAGCTTCACTTCATTTTAGTGCTGGGGCATAGGTTGAATCAGTTAGTAATTGAATCTCTGCTGAAATGGTCATGCTAATAGTTTGTGCTGCCACTACTGCTGAATGGGAAGTTTTTACACTGGGTTATATAAGACGAGGGAAATTTCAAAAGCAATAATACTTCAGAGTGATAAATTGATGCATATTTATTGAAAGAGATAGGGAAACACAGTTACAATGAATATATATTTGTTTTGTAACTAAAACAAATATAGTACAGTATCTCGGTGATGGAATGCCATTTTTTATTCTAATCACTGGCAAAATAGATACATATTCTGTGCTGGTCCTTTATCTAAATGCCCTTGCATGTTAATATTGGAGATGCTCTCTCTCCCTTTCAATGAAGAGAAAAGATGGAATCGAGTAATGAAGAACTTTCTATTCCAGATTGATTTCAACACAAAGACCATTTTTAACATTGAAAAAGGAATTATTAAGAAACAGTTCCCCTTCTCACAAGTCAAAGCCTGTGAAGATACTGAAAGGAGACGCTTCAGCATTGTGTTCCATGGGCGCCAAGATTATGAGTTGGAAGCAGTGTCTCTTGATGATAAAAGGAAGGTAAGTTTTGACAATGCCATAGACAGATAATTAAAACAAATAATATTTTGGTAGTAGCCAGCAGGTCCCAACCATAAATGAACGTTGTTATGCTGTGTATTGTGCAAGCACAGAAGTATGTAGTCGTTAGTCCGTACGTGTTCGTTCATAGAACACACAGAATGTGAGCTCAGGATAAAGTTTGGCCTTAGGATTTTGCTAAGGTTCACTCTGTGGCTGAAGATGTGTGGCCAGCTAGGGATATGATACACTGAAAATGGATACATTTCTTCAGCTATACCTTGAATGTAGTTGTTCTGAGACTATGATTAAAACAAGCAAGCAAAACTGATGATGACATTCACAGCTGAATTTTAATTGAAGTTTTCTAGATGTCTCTTTCCTCTTTATATAAGATATATTTGTAAAAATATGTTCATTTAAGAAAAATGAATGAGGCCATCGTGATTCTGTTAAAGAATAGCGAGGAATTCATCAGTTACCATCAAAATACGGAGAAATTGTAAAATTATCAGAGGAAGATAGCATATATACTATTGCTAGATCTTTGTGTAATTAAATGATTCATTGTTGGTTGGTTTTGAGGCACCTTGTGGTTAATTAGGTTAATTTTCAAAAAAGATTGCATTCAGCAGGAGTACTCATAAAGGTACTTTTGTTCTATAGGAAGAACACTCAAATATGGCCCTGTGTAACACTTCAAATTCACACCCAACCTCATCTATGTTACTTTCAATTGTAGGCAATTTTTATACTGGGTTTCTTTGAGATCTCGAGATAAATCCGTGAAGTACTAGCTAGACTTGAACTGAGTTAAACAGAAACTTTGTCTTAGATTGCTTCGTATATGAATTACAAAAATAAAGTTACATTTTGCAGTAAGCCCTCCAGAAGGAAATTGTGGTATGCTTCTCCATAAAGAAGTTTAGGAGTAGAATAACAAATTACAATTAGGTAGCCTTGCATCATAGAAATGCACTATTTACTTTACATTAAATTAAATTATTCTACCTATTCGGATGCTTCTTATAATGTTGTTTATAGTTTTTATGCTTAAAGAAAAATCTACCTATTAATGCCTACCTATTAATGTCAAGGGAATTACCATGTGAAATATGCTCTCTACTGTCATTTCTTACATAGATAACATATCTTCTGAGCAGAGTTATACAGAGTAATTCATACAAGAGACCGGCAGAGTCCTGTACTGGAAGACCTGCAGAATGTGATGTGATACACGAAGGAGTGTTGGATTTGCAGCAAAACGGTTTTACGTCCACTGAATGGGTGAAGTACGAAATTTGTCTTTGTGGACCTCTGGGCTGTGGATTTTGCTAAAATCTCTGATAAATATTTTAAATTAAGATTTAAATTTTTTGATAATTATTTAATTATTTTTTAATTAAAACTTAGATGCCCTATCTATAGGAGATGAAAACATGGAAGTTAGGGTTGTTGTTGACCTAATAGCAGTATGCAATACAGTGAGGTTCTGGAGTGTGCCAGAGACTCTGGTATGCTTTCCCAATACAAACATATGATCGTAATGGTGCCACCATTTCTTGCAGCCCCTAAACTAAAACAAATAAGAATGACTTTGCTTCCTCTTAGCCTGTTACTGAACTAGTGAACTAGTCACAGTGATTTTGCATGGTTTGCTACCCATCATATAAACAGCCTGCTCTTCCCTTGAGCCAGCTTCTAAAATACTCATTCTGTTTTTATCCTGGTCAGGCATTTCTTGTACTGTCAAAGGAGTGAGAGAGAAAGAAAATCTCCCTACCAAAAACTAATGAAAAATATTAACATTGTAATTATCTGCACAGGGTAATTATCTCAAAAGACTTTACAGTTCACAGAAACTGTTTTTAATTGTCTTTAAAAGGCTACCACTGTATGTCTCGTAAACAATATCCTCAAGTGTGTCCCAGGATTTGTTACCTTGCAACATCTAACAAGTTGTTAACAAACAAAAATTGATTTTTATTCATCTTTTGAAGCAAAGCCCTGGTTGCTTTCCATTTGATATTAATCCTTTCTTTTTTTTGCAAAGTAAATAATGGTGGAAACATCTGAAGATCAGATTAAACTGTAAGTCCCTGCTTTAGAGAAAGGAGAGATCAATATAACTGCCAGCTCCATTAAACAATTCTTATCACTTTGACTGTTTATGTGGGAATAGATGCAATTTATATTTTATTTTTAATTCTTCTGGAGCAGCTAAGCTTATTTAAATTCCTCATATAACATCTTAATCAACTAGCCACACCTTGTACAGAAAGAGGAGGGAAATAAATGTCTGATAGAACTGACAGAATGATAAAGAAATGCAGTAAACCTCAAGATAAATGAGAATGCAAATGTTTAAATAAGAATAAAAAACGCACATAGTAAGCCCCCAACATTGTTGTTGAATATGAGGCCTTTATATAGGTTATAAGGAGTAGAACAGAAACTTAGAAGAGAGACTTAGGCGGAAGATGCTGCTATAATAGAAGCTGCATAAGGTCAGCCAATTTGTGCCAGGAATATTTATCAATTAAAGAGTAATACCTACACTTTTGGACAGTATGAGCCAAGTGACTTCTGATGAAAGCCCTCAAGGGCAGAATACTGTGACCCCCTTCTTGCTAAGTGACTCTTGGCAATGAAGGAGCCCAGGACCATTCAAGATGCACGCGCAGAGGCATTTCCAAGAGAGAGAGTTACTGGACTATAAGACTGTGCACTAAGTTATATTATGGAGACTTGTTTGTAGCTTGGTGGCAGTAAAACCTGGAAGACCTAGAAACTCCAAAGCCTTGTCATGTTATGTGCTACTCGGTCACATAGTAAATTCCTTTAAAGGCTCACAGTCCAAAGACCATCCGTAACAAGCAAATGAGGGTAATAAATAGAGTGGGAGGGACAGGGTGTAGATAAGAAATTTACAGAATGTCTGTAATTTTTAGTCAATAGTCAGATCTTGTTCTTAATTCTAGCTCTCTCATTAGATCACAGGAACGGCAGGCAGGAAGTGCATATTTTATGTTTCAGTTTACTTGTGACAGACGAGACTAAGTCCTTATCTCAAAGGCTTCGTGCTTTAGATTGATAGTTTGAATTGTTCCATGGAAGATGCTATAGCAATGTGGAGACTTACTAACATTAGAAAGTGCTTTAACAAAGGCAAGACTCGTATAAATAAATAGTCAGTGAAGAATTAACTGTGTCTCCATTCCTTGTCCTTCAGGTACTTGGTGCAACTACGTGAAGGAGAATTGACTTTATATTGCATAGGTCTGGGAGGAGAGAACAAGAATGCAGACCCTGTAACAAATACAATTAATTTATCAGGTGGTAATGTGAGTGTCAGCAAGGAGAATGGATGTGGTACCTTTTCAGTCCACAACAAAGAACACAATTATTTGTAAGTATAGTTGGTAATTAATAACTTGTTAAAGCAGAGCAATTGAAAAACAAGGTCAAGCAACAGAGAATCTCAATGTCAGCAGCGGAGAAGCTAGGCCGTCAAAATTATACAGACAGCCCCTTCCGTTGCTGTGCTATGGTTTGTTGGGTATTTCAAGGCAGAATTAGAAGTACCACAATATGGAATTGAGAAGATACATTGAAATACTGCCCACAGAGACTGTCTAGTGATCACATCAGGAGCCAGTGCAAAGATGCATCATTCGGCTTGATAAAACAGATGTGTGAGCAGTTTCTGACTCGTTTGTATACTAAGCACAATAAGGCTTTATTCACCTTTCCCCAAGGTAGAGAAGAGGAATTACGAGGTAACTGCTTCACAAAGTCAATATATGGCAAAACTTCAGCTCTCTAACCTTAGACACCTAAGCAATTAACTCGTGTCTGAAAAGGTCAGAGTCAGCAGCACTAGGCTCCTTTGACGACTAAAGGTTTTGAGCATAATTCTGCTTAAATAAGACATATTTGTGACCGTATTAGTCAAAATGTTATTTACACTTCCTTGTGTTTATATATGACATTCTTAAATTTCAGGTTTCGAATACCCTTTACTGTCCAAAATAACAGGACGGAGGATGTTAGCAAGCTCCAGAATGAATGGGTATCTCTTCTAGAAAAGTACTGTCAGCTGTGGAAGGGTGGTTCACTGCCTTGGGAAGGACCTCAGGAATGCAGCTCCTCTGAGGCTGATTATGAGGAAGTTAGTGTGGCTCCGAATGAGCCCAGAGAGGACACTCTCTACACTGGTGTGAGTTCTGCAGCACCCAGTCCAAAGAAGTCTTCAGTCCCTGAGACAAAGCCTGCAGAAGAGAAAGTAGTGATAGAATCACCATCTCTTCCGCTTTCCATAAGTAAAGCAGGGGTGCCACCAGCTCCACCTGCTTTCCTGCAGCCCAGCAGCCTCTCTCCATTGACAAAGAGAACCAAAGCCTTTCACTGGGATGTTGTTCCTTGGGATAAGGTGAGGATGAGACTGATGGTAGCTATTAAAGAAAAGAAATGTAAAATTCCTAACATATATTAACTTACATATATAGTTATCATAAAAGTACAGTTGTGTCACAAGACAAACTGGATGCCCTTCTGTATGTTAGGATGAAACAAAGTGACTTTGTTCTTTTGGCCTTTTGTTTACCCTGTTGTGCCTGTATTTTTAGATTCAAAAATCCATCTGGGGATCATGTGACCCACACAAGAAAAAAATAGATGTATCTAGACTCTGTGATCAGTTCCAGATCCAGGATATGGCAGTATTTTCTGGCAATGAACCTTCAGTGAATCAGCACATCATGTTGGATAGAAAAGTTGCACATAACTTCAGTAAGTTATTAATAAGAACTGTGTGCTCCTGTCTGAAAACCTGAGGTGTGCACTGTATGCATTTTGTATTTGTAATTTCTACCATTTAATAGGCAAAGGAAGCAAGCTCATGCCTAAATAATCTTTTAACTTCAGTGCCTGTCTGCTCATTTATAAAAATAGACCTAATGGCTCAGTTGCTCTAAATATGGTCCTTAATGATATAAAGTGTAGAAGCACCAGGTGAGAGAAGCATTTTTAGAGTAGCATGTTATAATCAATAATAACAGGATGAAATAAAAAAGGGAGGTAAAAATGTGTGCTGAATATTAGGAAAAAGCTTCCCAAAAATGCTTTCCATTAAGCTAGAGAAGATAGTTTCAAGGAAAATTTTTAAACCCAATGCTTTAGATATGGAATCTAGACAAGGTGAACAAGTACTGTAGGACAATGTTTTTATTTAAAAGAGCATAAACCAGACAACCAGAAAACTTCTCTATCCTTAGTTATTAATGATCTAGTATATCCCTACTTCGTGAGGTTTCACTCATATCATTAAAACCATAAACTTTTAGTTTTAAAAATGTTAAAACAAGCTCATTAGCTGTATGTAGACCATTGATCTGGCTTCCTGTAAGACATCTTGTTACACAGTAAAGTTCTCCTCTCCTTGTACAAAATGTATGATTATGTTATCAAGCAGTGATGCTGTTATTTTAGGGCAGGCATGTAAGATTTTATATGAAGACTATGAAATTGATGTCAGGACTCTGACTTCAAAGGCTTTTCAGCCTTTGGGGGCTGGCCAGGTGAAATAAGTAAACAGAAGCCAGTTCAGGAGTTAGCACTCTGAGCCCTGAGTTTAAGAATATTCATATAAGTGGAGATGGGTTGGTGCAAGAAGCCTCTGAGACACCTACAAACTGGGTTCCAGGAACTCTGCTGGCCTTTCTCTAGACAGGCTCAAATAGCTCAGGCTGTGAATTGGTCTTGAGTGGGTGATCGTGAACCAGATCCTTCCCTCTTATATCCCAGGTGTGATTCTGCCAACGGGCTAACCTACAATAGTCTTTCAGAGCTAACGAAACAGTTCAACATATAATCTTGACCTTATTGATAAATTGATGAAAAGATCTTTCAGTTACCCTAATGAGAAGTGATAGATATTAAAGGAGCAAGAGTAATTGTTCTTCAAAGGCTGCTGTGCTTTCTCAGAGGTGTCTTGCCAAAAAATTCTATAATCTAACACTGTTTTAAGAAATATTAGCTGTGTAAAGAATTTGGGGCAGTTAAGATTTTGAAGTTGTAACAATTTCGTCTTTATGAATATTGATAAGAAAGAACACATTTGGAGAGCCTATAAAGTTTTAATTGGCAACTGTAAATGGAAATAACTTGTTGAAATTATTGCATCCATTGACTAACCGTTTGAGGGGTTAAAAGGAAGTGAGCGATACAAAAGTGAAGATGTAGATAAAAAGAATCCTGTAATAGCACTTTTATCTGCTACATTATTGCAGTTTCTTTTAGGAAATTTCTTTCTTTTGCTTTGCAAATAGCACCATTCTCCCTTTTGATCCTTTTTCAGTTACAGTTTTTCTCATTGAGACATTCTACATCCATTTCTTAATCTTATCCTTAAAGTCTCATCAGTGAGAGTTTTGGCATGTACTTATTATATTGGACATTACTTAGATCAAAAGTTAATTTCATTCTGAGAATTCTGATTAATCTTCCAGCAAGTGCTGCAAAACATAGTCCTTAAATTAATGAATAAAAAGATGAAGATACAAAATGCCAGCAAGTTAAAATTTGTTGAGAATTTGAGTGGGTTTTAAAACACAAGTAAAAAATGGAAGAGTTCTGAGAACAGAGAAAATGTATACACTAAATTTAAGCCCAATGTATGCAAAAATACAAAAAAAAACCCCAAACCCTAAGCGATTTAGTGCCTTCTTTTAGACAAAATAATTTTCTGCCATATGGAGAACAATATATCAGAGAGACAAGAAACATCCTGAGGTTACCAAAGAGAAAAAATTTGGGAGACAGTATAACCTGTACATTAATCCAAGAATGTGTGACCTAGTGGGTGGAAAACTGCCTCTGGAGTCAGGGTACCAGCTTGTGTGACATAACTGATGCCTGTCACTCTTTCTGAGCCTCAATTTCCTGTATGTAAAATTCCTATTTTGCTTAGAAAATACTTTGAAATTCAACATCATGGTACTGTTGAGAAAAAAACTCAAGACACTGTTAGTAACTGAGTAAGGAGTAAATATATTTTAATTTTGAAAAAAAAATCATTGATAGTTTTTTTAGAATGAAGGAAAGCTTAGAATGAAGACCTGGACTCATCTGTTTCTAAGCATGGGCAAGTGGACTTTTATTAGAATTAAGGATATGTCACTCTATTCATCCATTTTTTTGCCAGAATTTCATAAGTATTTTGGAAAATGGGTTCAATAGCAGTATCATTTACAAATACAGTGAATTACAAATTTATAGGGGAGACTAGAAAACTAATTCTGAATCTGTGCCACAAATATTTTCATCAGCAATCCAGTTGTCAGAATATACGTAACCAAGACGAGGAACTACAACAACGCTGTGTGACCTTTGTCTAACCAACAGAGAATACTTTGAGTTTCATTTGTTAAATATTTGTAGCTGATTACTTTTATAAAATCTGAAGACCAAGAATTATTCAATGGTTAATTTCAAACACTGAAAATGATCGAGAAAATCGTAAATGCTTTGAGGACAGTTTGTGAAAGGAAAGCACCTCAATTTTAAAATCAATATTTTATTATGAATTATTCACTCTGTTACAATCTACACATATCTTCCCACCTGAAGAAATACATGCTTTAGAAGGCATAAGGAGGCGTAAGGCATAAGAAGGCAAATGATTTCACCAGGCTTAGCACTAAAGCTGGATCTTATAACAGAATTAAAGGGGTGGAAGGTCTGTGAGAGAAAGAATAAAGGAAATACACTCCATTGGCCAACAATTTCTGAGAGCCATTGTTATATGACTTAGGCCACAGCAACTTTCTATTAACTGAAAAACTCTGAACTATTTTAGGATTGCAGAAAGAAATAGTAAATCATAGAAATCCTTCCGGATATCTCCTTCCCAATCCTTTAGTGCTGCCCAGAAGAGTTCTGCTGGCGCAGACTCTAGGACGATTTCATGCCGACACTGAGAAGCATGTTAAATTTCCTGACTTTCTCTGTTGGTCCCTTGAGTTCACTTCCTTATGTTTTCTTTTTCACTCCGTTGTCCTTTGGTAATTATGACAGAGATAGGTTAAAGAATAACTGGCATGACAAAGTGGTCTTTTTTTGGAGCAACAGACTTGATCTTTGCCTGCTTGGGAAAGAGAGAGCTTATTTCCGTTTGCCTTTTATACTGTGTAATATGAGCCAGCCCCATGTCTGCACACAAGTCTTAAAACATTACAAAAACTGCTCATCAGATATTAGAATGCCAGGAAAGAGTATCTGTCAATGGGGTTTGCCGTGGACAATATTGAAACATAGTCTTTGGGCAGCGTGGAAGAAATGAGCGTTTCTGTTTCCCGGGTTGCCTTCATTTGAGATTCATTTTTGTTGCCAGGACTCTAGCTACCTTCTTTTAAACACTAGAAGTGAAACAGAAGAAGCAAATGAAATCAAAACAAATGGAAGATTTAATTTCTTTAACCCTCGAAGTATTATAATATACAAATACATGACATTTTTATTCAGAAAAAATAGAATTTATTTTGACTACTAAGCTGAGTGCAGGAGAAATATATGGTAGTAAATACTTGAATCTCTTCCTATAACAGTATTTTGATAGGTCTGTCTTAAACATTGACTATATTTTGACAGAAATATATTTTTGCTTGATTACTGCTATGTATATTTAAAGAAAATGTGAAGACTGAGTTTTCACCTTAGCATTAGCAGCTACGAAGTGAAAAACGAATTTTATCTGGGAAGTAAATATGAAACGTTTTGGTATTTTTCCTTCCCTCGAGCGTTTTCCTCCAAGTAATCTAAGAATCATTTTCCCCCAGACATTTTTCTTAAAAGTTTCCGAATAAAACCAAGCCAGCTGAGAGAAAAATTATACATTATACATGAAGAGAGTGGTGGACTTACAGATGAGCAGATTACAGCACTAAGAAGGTAATCTTTGGGGTTCAATTGTTTGTTTATGATGAATGGTACCTTTTGGAAAAAACATAATTTTCTGCAAATAATGGGAAATTCAGGAAAGATGCTGCTATGGCATTGAACCTATCCTGACTGTAAATAAAGAGTAAGGGTTGTTACAACTAAGATTGTACAGTGTTCCCCAAAATGTCACTCTTCCCCATGTTGTTTAGGAAAGTGAGTTGCAAGAAATAACAGCAAGTCTGACATGATTTTGTGAACGGGTTACAAGGAGCAGAGTAAGTAGAAGAGTCGGTTGTGGCAGTGAGCGGCTGTGACTTAACGGGAACGCTTCGCAGCCTTACCTCCTATCACGGGGTCGCAAATCAGAGAAACATAAGAAGTTCTGTTCCCCTATTTAAGTATTCATTTGGAAAGGGGAAAGCAAATTGCTTTGGGAACGGAAAGGATATTAAGAGTATCTGTATTTCTTAGTGGCAGAGACGTTGCGTTCAAATTCCTGTATCTTTAAAAAAATTGAATTATTATATTGAGAGGAGTAGATTTCAGGAGTGTAAACAAACTGTTGACATGTGAAATTTGTAGGATATGGATTGTATCTCTTTGAATAGTTTATGACCCAGGAAGGGAGCGGGTCCTAGGTCCCCGCTGTATCCATTATACAGCCAAGTCTCCATTCAAGGCATGTGACACCTGTGCCATTTTATTAAATGCATTCATATGAAAATTTGATGTAAAACTGCTTCTCATTTCAAAATAAGAAAACATTTGAATGTTTTGCTAAAGGCAGCCTGCTAAAAGATGATGCTGGTGAAGGAAGTCAGGAGGTAAGTAACCTATTTTGCTACCAACATCCCTACTTCTCGTAGCATGAAATTAATCTTGCCTTTGTAATCCTAATCCTAATCTCTACATCAACAGCAATTTTTAAATCCTTGGAGTTATGTCTGCACTTAGAAGGTAATGGGAACATGAAAAAAAGACGAGTAACACATATGGAGTAAATGTCATTATGTGAGATGGCTTGTACAGAGCTTGCTTGAACTATGAAAGGATTTGGAAAAGCTTGTGATAATTCAAAACTTTTAAGTGTGCCGGTGTTCTGGAGGAAGTTTCCAAGGAGCCTGAGTTGCTTTATCATTTATACTGACACTAGCAACACATCAGATTTTGAGCTAGTGAAAGGTGTATAGCTCCACTGAAGGCATTAGAGGTATTAGAGCTCTGCTGCCTTTCAAAACTGGCCCTTACTACAGTTCCTAATTGCAGTGATGCAATTGGTCAAGACATTGCTGCAATGAAATATCTATCAAGGGACAGTCTCTGGGAAATAAATAGGTAGGAAGGGGTAGGAAATGTCCTGAGTCCCGTAGCTCAGGGTAGCGCTTGTGATGTGGTCAGCCCCATTTGTGATGGCAGGCACTGCTCACCTCTCAGTCTGAAGGACAACAGCTACAGGTGCTCCTCTGAAATCAGTTTGAACCACTTGGTGTGTGAAACCGTCCCTGAGGCTGCTACTTATAACACATTTGACTTACACTGTGTTTGCAGACATACACACATCCACAAACATGCTCCGTGCTCGAGCCCTAATACAACAATGCAAATTCAGGCCAGATCTACGCTCTGTTGAAATTAGTGTAATACCATGGTCATCACTGATTTATGACGTCTGTGCTCTTTGCCGTCAGACAGTAATAATGATGATGATAGCAAACCTTGAAAGAGTTTATTTTTTACTTCAAGATTTCAGAGTCTTCCTTTAGTAGCAGTAATGCTGAGGAAAATTTTCTAGCAAGGGAACATGTAACAGATACTGGACGTTATATTGCTAGATGCTATATTGGATCAAGTTTTTTGTTCCTGGGATTCATATTTATTGACAAAATCGTGTGTGCAAATTTTGTCATGCAAGGAAGCCTACTTTCCCACCCCAATGGTTTTCAAAATGTTACTGAAATTAATGAAATGCATTTCACAATTGAGGGCTGGATCTCCAAGATAGTTCAGTGTCTTCCAGCTCCCATTCAGACATCTCACTTAGCTGGCAGACTTTTATTTGAAAGTGTCAGCACTGAGAAGTTTCTCTTATACAACGCACTGTAATAAAGCTGGCGTGATACGTGTAGCAGGACACATAGCATTTTGAAGACCTTTCCACTTGATTTAGGTGCCACAAGGGAAAACTTTACCATTGAAAACTATGGCTTCCAAACAATTGAGAACTTGTGGCTGCAACAGGAGTTTAAACAGAATATCCAGGGACTGGAAACTTACTCTGTGTGCAAATTATACCTGTCCTATTCTTTAAGCCTGAGCAAGAAGCTTAAATTCTACTATCATAAAATGCAAGAGTATTTAAAGCCAAAAATATGATTATGTTTTTAAGACTGTGACCACTGAGCAAAACGTTCTGCTAATGTATCCAGTGAATGTTAGTGGAGGTGCTGGAATATTATTAGGAAACTTCAGGACTTATTTTGATACAGAAACCTTTCTGTAGCTCTCTGAATGAATTCTTTATCCTGAAGTCTTAAAATAAGTAGCAGAGAACTCTTTATTTCTATAAACTTTAATTTTTCAGGGTGGAGTGTGAGATTTAAAATTACACAAATTCCATTCTAGCTGCATCCATGTAAAAAGATATTCATGGAAGCACTCACATAGCCATGTGCTTTCTTTTCCATGGCTTCCATTGCCTAATGCTTTAAACTTTAAACTTTCAAGATAACCTGTTAGTTTCATTTCATATACATAATGCTTGAAAACAATTTGATGGAATATCAGACTCCTGATTAAATGGAGATATTTTCTGTCAGCTTTTTAAAAAGTGTTCTTTGAATTTGCCTAAAAAATTAAACTCTTTTTAACAATGAATAAAAACTCGCTCGTTTTACAGCAGATAATGTTAGCATCCAGCAGATGTTATTTTTAATACAGAGAATTCATTTTTTTCTTATTGATGAAGGATGATAAATTGAATATTTTGTAATCTGCTTTAGTATATCTCTAATAATTCAAAACCTCAATTGAAGTATCAGATTAAATTACTGACAATGATAAAAAAAAAAACCTTAATGTTTAAAATGCTGAAATCTTTGCTTTATCTTTAACGTGTTGCAAATTATTTTTTAATAAATTGACTTACTTTTAGTGAAAAATGTATATCCCTTATATCCCTCCACATGAATGTTTAATCACACTTGCTACAAATTTAGTACGTAGTTTGCAGAGAAAGAAGAGATGATAGTAGACCTGAATGCTTATTTAGTATTCTTAACAGTCCTTCTTATATATCTTATATATGTTAGCTATAAGGTCTATTTAATTTTTCTTCTTTAAGATATCTTACTAATTCCCAGAGTGTGCGTGCTAAATAGGTAGAAAAATCTCCAAAGAGGGGAACTGTGGTGATGTGAATTTATTTTTCCAAGTGGAGCAATGTTTAAACATGTCCGTTTTCCAAAAATTTCCTGCTCTGGAGTACTGTGGGAGAACAGTCTGTTACCTCATTCCCAAGGAAGAAAGTAGCAGGTCTGTGTTACGTGTCATAACAAAAACGAGAAGGGGATCTCAGAAGTGATGCAATGTTTACAGAGGCAGAAACACAATTACCCGCTTTTATTTCATGGGCAATTAATTTCAGACATAGGAGTCATACGGTGGAGCCCATTGCCTAATCACATCATAGCATGCGTATGCTGTGTCTTTATGTTAATTTTTCAAATCGGTTATTGCTGGTTATTGCTAAATGGACATGGCCTGCCCACCTGATGAGGTTTGTAATGCGTGAGTCTTGTGTACAGGGCACAGACTGGTTGACAGGTGATTTATGTGCACTGCATTTTGTTTATGAAATGAGGCCTTTCAGAAGTGGCAAACTGCTCCTTAATTTTTAATGAAGTTTCCTTCACTGTGGACTGGAGTTCCACCTACGGATAGTTTCATGCGCATCTCGGAGCATTTCTCCCCAAATATGCACATTGCAGGCTAGTGTCCAGGGTCATGAGGACCCGACTAGATTGATTATTAGTCCGAGGTTGTCTTCTGTTGTCTACAGCTGTGCTTTGGGAAGCCACTTTGTCAAAACTGCTGAAAATTGTATGCTGTTTTCAGTGCCTGACCTGAAATAACGGCAACTGGCTTTCACAGGAGCACCCACGTTTTTAATGGCTTTTGACAGGTTGCTGTATAAGTTCACCCCATAGATGAGAATAAGGCGCACACTTATCAAGTGCAGACTTAATGAAACTCTTTGCAAATTGTGGGCGTAACTCCTTTGTGCCCCAGTTTTACCTTTTCCAGAATAGCCCATACCTTTGTAAATTGTCTGTATAGCTAGAGATGAATGCTACTGAGTGTTATTTTCAAGCCGTATGTATATGCAAGTATTTCTATACATATATGTCTCTGCAGATCATTTTTACTTTGCATGTCATAGTTGGCTCATGGGTCTATAAAGTGTCAATGATTAAAAAGTAAATTTGCAATACATGAAAAAATAAACAGTAAGAAATCCCAATGCATGGAGTAGACTGATTATTTTTTGCTACAATAATATTCGAGAAAAAGGACATCTAATATTCACTTACTGTTTTACAGATATATGCCAACACCAAAAGATGTAGAAAGGTACCAGTCCTTCAGGGGGTCCCCTTCGGAGCTGCACGTAGTTGATCAGTTTATGTTAGAGGTAAGAAAACACAGCAGCCATTAAAACACACCACAAAATTTCTAGGGGCACCCTGTTCTAGATAAAACTACTACAAGGAGTGGTCATTTGGAACTTAAATTTCCTATCTTAGGCTGAATCAGTTTAAGAGGATTTATCCTCTTAATCAGTTAAGAGGATTTATCTGACAAAGAGATCAGATATATAAAAGTTATGAAGAGAACTTTTATCCCTTTGCATCTCTGAGTAGCACTCCCTCCCCTTCCTTGAAAGTAGGAACTGACTTATTCTGAGCTAGATTTCCAAACACTTCAAGTGTAAAGCTGTGTGCATTTAACCATACCTGTTCACAAGAAGTGAGTGTCACTGGTTTTAATAGCATCTGTCCCTGTGTGCATACACAGTGAGTTCTTGAATTTATGTGTGCAAACCAAACATGTTTCTGACACGAAATTTTTGTATTTGCCGTCATATATCTATGATCTTAAGGCCTAGAATAAAATTAATAAATGAGTACAGAAATTAGGAAAACTATGCTACAACCGAATTGCTCAATATATTATGAGAGATATATGCATGTTTGAGTATAAACATGAGTTTGGATTCCTTTTCTGTTCTGTTCTATGCAGATGTGTAAAATCCCACATTTAGGCCAGAGGCTAGATCTCCTGCTTTCCCTCCGTGAACTCCCTGTGAGCATGAGGGATCTGGAGCCTGTAAGTAACATGCATGTTTCATAGTTTGTTTGTAATAAGAATCTGCAGGGTAGATAGCAGAGGGCCAAATGGCCTCAATGCAGATTTCAAATCTGTGTAGCTGGGGAGATTTTTTTTTGTACAGAAAAACAGTTCACAGAATCACAAAATGGTTGAGGTTGGAAGGGACCTCTGGAGATCATCTAGTCCAACCTCCCTGCTCAAGCAGGGTCACCTAGAGCATATTTCCCAGGATCGTATCCAGACGGGTTTTGAATATCTCCAGCGAAGGAGACTCCACTACCTCTCTGGACAACCACAAGCCATAATGTGGACATACTATAATAATCCAGGAAGCCTGATGTATAAATATCATTTTACTACACTATTCAAAAGTAATGGGTAAAAAGGTTAAAAAACTTTAAAAAGTCAGTGTAGCTCCTGGCTTTGCTAGCCAAGGAATTGTAAATAACATGAAACTAAGTTAGAGATGAGTTATATTAGCAATGTAACATGGACTACGTGCTGGTGCATTTGGAATGCCTTTGGGAATCCAAAACTTGGGATGATTTAATAACACAACTGCCTTCTACAAAAAGCAGGACCTGAGAAACACATGGAACTGAGCTCAGATCAATCAGTGCAACCCTTTCGCTTGGGATGTTAGAAAATCTTTTTTTTTTTTTTGAGACATTAGCTTGCAGAATTTCTTTTATTATGTTTTATTAATGATACAGTATCCATAGTAGTGGTTCTAAACAGAACACAGTAAAAAAAATGGAGTCATTGCAGGGCTGTTTTATGCATGTACATGTGCATGTATGCATTTAATATCATCCTTCTTTCACTAGGGTGTAAGGAGCAGTTGCTGATGGGTCTGGTAGTGCGATAAACACCCACAAAGGAGTGGAAAAGGACAGGAAAATATATTCAAATATTTATTTATGTATTTATCTATTTATTTTTATTTATACTTTCCTCATTGTTTGACAAATGATAAGACAGAGGGGAATTTCACCATTAAAATTTGTTCCCTTATGTGGGAAGATTCTTGCCCTACAAGCCGAAGGAGTTATTCTAAAGTCATAGATATTTACAGTGAGTTTATTGGACTGGCATCTCATAGAAAATTACTGCTTCCAAAAGACTGAAACAGGCTCTCCGCCCTAATGATTACATCATTAAACTGAAGGATGCAAAACTGAGTTTGGGTCCCTCTCTGCCTAGTTCAGAATGACCTGGGTGGGGAGAGCAAATAAACAGTGTTTTGAGTCATATGGAGCTGGATCTCCCTGTTCCAAACTGCTGCCTTACCTGCCAGGCTTTACCTGTCCTTTGATTCAAAACAAATTATTTCGAAATAATTCTTTTTTTGTCAAAATGCTTCAAAGGTTTTGCTTTCTTTCTGCACGGGAATGAAAACACATTTTGAGAGTTGCTGCAAGTCAGAGTTGTTACCCTTTGTTTGGCTGTGATCAAAACCATAGTAACAGTGAACAAAACTCAGAAGGGGAACAGATGGAGAACACTGGGGAGATGCATAGATCTCTGACCTGCCTGGTATAATGTGACACCTTTGCCACCCTTCTCTGAAACCAAACATTTGAAAATTTGGAAGCTATAATATACTGATTGCTTTGAGGGATATTTATTGTTCATCGAACAGCTGATTAGTTCTCGAAGTACTTTCTTACCTGTGCACACTAATGCACATATATAATGTGTAGATTATACACCTAAAACTTCATTGGACAATCTGAATATTAGCTTTCAGTGGTGTTTGGTCCTGTGATGTGCTATGAATGTCTTAACAACGGCTTTCAGAGCTCCCACAAGTTTTGTCCTTTCCCTGTTTTTAAATTTTATATGTTGGTGGTTGATCAAGATAGGTGTGGCAGTAGAAAAATACATTTCCTAATTTAAAACAAAACTACCTCTTGTAACTATAGAGCTAGAAGGGAGGTGGCTTCCCTGGGGAAATGGAAATTGATATTAAGCTTGATTACAGGAAATTATTATTCTTCCTTGTGGGGAAACTGTACCAAGAATTTCGATAGCAGTCTTCTAGCTGGCATAAAAGACAGGGAAGAGGTGAAGGATGGAGAACCTTACACTGCACTTCAGGCTATCTGCTTCCCCTGCTGCCTGACATTTGGTGCAATGTGGTGCATTCAAACAGCAAAGTGTTTTTTATTCACAAGCATTTTTAAGAGTTGAGGTTGAAGTTCTTTTGGCAAGGCTGATTTGGCAGCCAGAAAGGATGTGACCTCCAACCAAGGCAGGGAAGCTGGGCCAACACTCGCTTTATCTTGGCGGCAGAATTTTCACTGGTCTTTCCTAAAAACCCCTGGCCTGTTCTCCAAAGGAAGTTGAATAGAAAGATATCAGCTCCAGTATGACTTATTTACTCCTGCTAAGAACAATGAGGCCTGGCAAAGGGAGGGTAAAGACATCATTGTTTTACTCATACTTTCAATCTGAGCTGAAGGAAGATACGTGTATTTCAGCTAATAAACCAGAAAATCCAAGCAAGTAAGCAGCTGCAATCCAGCCAGAAATTTATTGCTGTCTTGGAATACGTTTTAGCCATTGGGAACCTTTTAAATGAAAAAGCTGGAAAAGAGAAGGCTAGAGGATTTCGACTGTCATCTTTGATGAAAGTGAGTAAATATTTTTCTTGTCATTAAAATCATCATATTATAATGTATGTTAGTCATTAACATTAAACTAAGTTTTGCCCTGAATGCAGAGAAAGGCAATCATTTTTAATGAATAGCTAACTTTTTAACATCTGCTCTTGGTTACTCTAGAAACAAAATCCTGTTTAACAATGTGTTCTTTAACAAGTAGTGTAACAAGATGTCTTTCCCCATTTTAGATGGGGGCACTGTGCTGCTGAATACACTGTGTTTCTAATAAGGCAGAACACTGAAATGCTGTTTGCTCTGATGTTAAGATGCCATGGCTAGAAAAGACATCTGAGCTGCAGGCCGCTGGCTAGGCTCGAGTTTGGGTGAGGTGTAATTTGCAGCCTTGTGCAGAACACTGTCATGTGGATCTGGTTTCATTTCACAGTGGTCAGAGGCCGTGACTATGGCATTTCTTCTGTGAGGGTTGTACTTCTATGGCAATGGAGCAATTCCTTCTTAGCCCTTCAGCTTTTTACTTCAGTGCAAAGGTCTCTTGCAAGTGATACTACCTATTTTTTAAGGTAAAAATAGAGTAAGGTAAAAAGGGTATATTTTAAGGTAAAATATATTCACAAGTAGAATATAAATAAAAGAATGAATTCAAACAAAATGGACTTTGCCTGCCAGGGTTTTAACCAACGAAATGTATGTGAATCTATGCAACGTATGTTGCTTTTGGAGCAAGCGCCAGAGCCTTGGTGGATTGTGGAAGAGGAAGCGTTGTGTTGGGAGGTTCAAACAATGGACTTCACAGCCCTAAAAATGCTTTCTGGAAATTGGGAATCCTACTATACCCTTTAAAGAGGACTATTCTATTCCCTTCTCCTTCTCCTCAGCTTAGCTCTTTAGAAGATACAAGCTGATGTAAAAAACCAGCAGGATTATGTGTGTGCAGAACTGTTAAAATCTGCTGGCCATGTCAGAGTTCCCTCAGTCTCACCAGCTGCAGGCGTGCTCTGACGGATGATTGAATAGGGGAGGAAATGGCTGTTCTGATATTTTGTCTTTCCTGACACAGATCCGCCCTTCAAAAACCATCATTTAGCTCTTAGTTCTTTAGTTGTGTCTTAGCTGACCCACCACTTGCATGACACTAGGCTGAGTTTTCTATTAGCTTTAAGGCAACGGCTTTCCCCTCCTCATCAGAATTTGCCATCAGAAAATGTTGCCACTGAGCACAGGGATTTTTTCCTTTCCTCCACCGAGCAGTGGCAGAGCATGATCTTCCTATGCTAAAAAAATAAGAAACGGATACAAATTTCCTAAGCTACCTGGAATCTTTAAGGCTGCTATAAAATTATGCTTGATCTGTAGATAGAAGAGAGAAGATCTTCTTTGTTTTGTTTTATTTTTTTGCTAAGATATCTTTTCCATCTGGAGACTTCAATATATGAGTGAGTGATTTATAATACCAGTGACAATTGTGAGACACAACTTGTATTTTTTTTTAAATGGCTGTGATATCACATCTATCATAATGAAAAATGTCTACAAAATCATTTTCTGCCTCAGAGCATCTTCCTAAATTCAATTAAGGAACCTTACTATCTACATGAATACAGCATAGTGTTTTAAGTAGAAAGGGGTACATGACTGTGTTTGGAGATCCAAAATCAGTTGCAATCAATTAGGATACCTGAAGTTAAAAAAAAATCCCTGTGAATAAAAAGGCAAAAAAGAAAGGTCGGCGGATATGAAAGCATAAAGCTGATCTTAATCAAGAATGTCTGCAAAATGGCAGATTGAAAAGAAGTTTAATTCCATTGTGTTTTCTATTCTTGTCAAATTTACCTAGGAGCTATCAACACTCCTGCTGTTTCTTTTTTTTTTTATTTCTTTTTCTTTCTTTTTAAGTATAATAGCTCAATCTGTCAATTATTGCTATATTCTATTTGTAGTTGTCTCAGCTGCGAGGTAAGGAGAGGACGTTCACCTTGCTTCATGCCCTTGTGGAACAGATCTTCTTACATGAGCCTGATGTGGCTAAATTTTCTCAGGAGCTGACAGAATTTGAAGCTGTTCCTGACGGTAAGAGGATGGAGGGAAAAATGGAGGGAAATAAAAAATTAAGTCTCTCAGTCCTTTCGTGGAAACTCCCATCTTCACACTGTGTGAATGACATTTATTATCATCTTTTCCCCCTTTTTTTCCTTTCCAGCTTCCATGAAAGGACTCAGTGCTGAAGTTGATGGTATGTAAATGTGGTTTTTAAATTCAGAGAAAGATTTTTATGTGTTGTGCAGTCATTTGGAACAGGTTTTCATTGCACTTCTGTAGTTTGTAAAGAGAGATAAAGGTTCAAAATATTGAGGTAAAGTATTGCTATGGTGATATTTAACCAGCCATGTTACTGTGAGGAATTTTAAAAAACAAATATTAAAGTGCTTCCAGGTGGTTTAGAAATATCAGAAATATACTGCCCATGGTAAATAGAATTTATATTAAACTACAGATATTAAGCAATACAGGTACTCTGTCAAAGTTACTGCTGGAAAGCAGTCACCAGGTACAGGCAATACAGCAGGAGAAAACTTAGTACAGTTAAGTAGTGAAGTTCAAGAACTTTGAACCAAACTGATATCCGTCTCTAAAAGGAATGTAACACTAGTGAAGTCAATAGGAGAGAACAGAATAAGGTTGTTCAAATGTAAGGTAGGCTTTTAGAGACATTTAGAACTTGCCATTTTGAAAATGTGGCGTGGGGATTGACTGTAACCGTGGACCAGTATATCCCATTTCAGCTTTTGATAATATATCAGAATGACAGTAGCTCTCAGCCTTCAGTGTGAAAAGCCTTTGCACCGTTTTGCTAGGCCTTTGGTAGTCAGCCAGGCATTTAGCTTGAGGTTAAAGAAGTGTGTTTTTATTTTGTTCCAATAAATTCTGGTCAACTTCTTAGGACACATAAATAACTAAAAATCACTATTTCCCTTCAGTTATTTGTGTTCTTTGGGGAAAATCACAGAATCGTTTAGGTTGGAAGGGACCTCTGGAGATCATCTAGTCCAACCTCCCTGCTCAAGCAGGGTCACCTAGAGCATATTTCCCAGGATCACATCCAGACGGGTTTTGAATATCTCCAGCGAAGGAGACTCCACCACCTCTCTGGGCAACCTCTTCCAAAGCTCAGTCACCCTCACAGTGAAGAACTTTTTTCTCAGGTTTAGGTGGAACTTCCTGTGGTTCAGTTTGTGCCCGTTGCCTCTTGCCCTGTTGCTGGGCACCACGGAGAAGAGGCTGGCCTCATCCTCTTGACACTCTCCCTTCAGATATTTGTACACGTTGATGAGATCCCCTCTCAATCTTCTCTTCTCCAGACTGAACAGGCCCAGCTCTCGCAGCCTGTCTTCATAGGAGAGATGCTCCAGTCCCCTAATCATCTTTGTAGCCCTATTTGGTAGCATTTATATGGTACAATACTGGTAGCATTTCAAAATCACTAAATATTTTAAAGCCAGATTTGTAACGTCATGGCTAAAGTAGTACAACAGGCAACACCAGAAACTGTTGGGAGCTATCAAAGGAGCTATGTTATGGGAATTGGAGGAGACCGACTGGGCCCTTCCCTCCATGGATTCATGATGGACCGAGTGCAGATCACTCCTTTGAGTCCCAAACTGTCTCCATTCACCAGGGCGGAGAAGGAAAGAGATGGTATGAATCCTGCAAATTCTCAGCATGTAGACCCAGAGACACATCCTGGGGCTCATTTGCTGCAAGTATTGCATAAGTATGAAGGGAGGAAGATCCTAGATTGAAACCTTGGTCAGTTCAGGAATGAACCCTTTGAGCCAAGGATGAATCCCACCTCTGGAGTAGTTCTCCACCAACCATTTCATACAGTTAGAGCTCTCATGGTAGCAGTCTGGTGTAGTGCTGTAGTGGTAAGTGACAAGATTTCCTGCTGTTACAGAGAGTAGAATTTTTGTTCTTTTATCTTTAAAGGAACGCTGAAAGTTATGCACAAAAACTTAGGTTAGATGAATGTTATTTTCACTGCTGATTCAAATGCTCAAAAGCTAGGAAAAGTCAGATTTATGACTGCTGCATAACCAGATACGGACCTCTTCATTATTCTCCAGTTGTATGTGATGTCACTATTTTTTCCATAAGACTCATTCCTCTTCTAGGATTTCTATTTCAAAATAGCAAGTTAATATTCCTAGATAAACACACTATAGACCCATATTCCTCTAAATTTTCCATTAAACATTTGCAGTCCTTAATACAACTGCATGCTGGTGAAATTTCTCACTTTCTTCCTCTTTCATTGTTAGTTTTAAAAAAAGAATTGGAAAATGTTACTCAGTGCAGGCGGCTTATCAAACCCAAGACGATCAAGGCAACACCGCAGGAGTCACAGTTCTGCAAGGAACTAAAGGTAATGTTATCGCAACGTTATTGTAGGCTGGAGATAAAAGGTGAGTAATCTGCTTGGTTTGTGCTGAATCCTGCCCTGACAAGGGATTCGGGAACATTTCAGATGGAAAGTAACCTCTGATAGCGTCTCATACCACAAGACGCAGCATGAGAAGGGCTTTGCAGAGTTTCTACACCTCCTTTTGCTTTACAGGAAAATGAGCTTGAACGAATGAGGAACAGATAGACCCACAATCACCCACAATAAACAGTTTGGAACAACAGCAGTTTTAGAGCATATATGAATTTTATTAACTTCCTCTTCCCTCACACAGCAGGGAAAATAGTATAGAGAAACATCATCCAAAAACATGCCTAAATTGTGAGTATAGGTGGGCCTAAGGGGATTCTGCCCATGCGAATGACAGATCTCGATGGACACAATGGAAAAATAGTGAAACAAACTGTTGGCAAGCCAATTCTGGTCAGGAGTCAGCAGAGCCAAAGAGAGGACTTGTTAGCGCAGGTGTAAAGAAGCTGTGCTCTCCAGAGTACAGTTACACTGACTCTGGACAGAGCTGCTTCTAGGAAGTGCATTCCCCTCTACCAGCATGTCTACTTTCCTGAATATCTTTGTGCTATGCTTCATTGGGTGGTGTAGACATCTGCTAAATCAGCACGTTCCTTTCTGTCCTGGAGCAGCTCAACAGTATGTTTCTTCAATAAATAGCGAGTTGGGTAAAATGAATATGTTACAAAGGAACTACGATTAAGAATTATTATTTTAAAGTTTCTAGGGCCTTGTTTCTGGCTCTTTCTTAAGAAATAGCAATTGGGAGTGTTTGTGTTGCATGCAAGTGGTTTAGGTTATGCCAAATGAGGATACATGTATTGCCATGGAAATCAACACTTTATCGTGCTTCTAACTTTGTAAATTTTTGATAGATTTAGGTAGTGTTATTAGATGATACTGTGAAAAGTTCTCTAATATTGATGTTCGGTTTTTGCATTTCATGGCTTTATGCTAGCAAGGAAATATATGTGCTTGATCTGTGCTTAAATTTTGTGAAATGTGAAATTTGTGTGACATGGAAATTTTGCCTCGAGTTTTCTTGTTCTCGCTGTTATTTCGTACTTGCTTTAATATTACACTCTTATGCTAAATTAAGAAGTTTTATTTTTATTACAGGATCTAATTCAGAAGTATGAAGGAGACCTATCCTTACTGTCAAAAAAATGTGATGAAATGAAGAAGCTTTATAGTGACATACTGGTACATATTATATTAAAATGCAATTTGCATCTTATTTGCATTTGAAGATGATTTCATTTTCCATGTGGCCAGAAGTTGCCTCAACTTTTAACATAGTTGCTTCCTCCCCAGCCCTCCTTTTTCTCTAATGTTAGGCTTTTGATACATTTCTCTCATTTAGAAAGGACTTTTTTTTTCTTCTGAACAATGCTAGTCCCTAATAGATACTTTTTGCTGCTTTATAGATATGCAAATAAAAAGTCAATACTTTACTTTTACTGATGAGTTATCAAAGGCTGAGGCATCATCTGAAGAGCACTGGAAAGGAATAGTGCAGCTTCCCTGGGGCTGGATATCTGATCTGGAAATATGTTGTAGATAGCCGTGGAAAACATGTTGCTCATAAAACAAAAATTTGTGGGCTTACCTTCGTAATTTTTTTATTCTGCTTATAAAATCAATAATGACCTTGACATGTGACACTTCCATAGAATTAACAATAAATTGGGGATAACTGCCTGTGGTATAGCTGTGGGCCATCAACTTCTCACAGATGGTCATTAGCACCAGAAAATGCCTCTCATTACTGTTTTAACCGATGGTACACTGTGGGTGAGTGGTGAGGCGTGCCAAAGATCAAGGGCTTGTAGCACCCAAGAGGTGCAATTAGGAGTACAACATGCAAAACTATTAATCAGGTATCACTGGATAAGGTTAAGATTTTGTGACCAGATTATATCTGAGTGGTTTCTGTTACTGTATTTTTTGAGCTCTAGACAGAGGATTTACTCATAAGAACGTTTTAGATGATGTCCAGATGACTGTATTTAGATAATGACAGATATTAGAAAATGTTAATCAACTGAATAAGCAATAACTTCTTGTCCAAAACTTTCCATATTTTCAGTTGCAATCTGAAACACTGAAATACTAGTATGTTGCTATTGAGCCCTGGGGGAGCGGTATCTTCCAATTACAATATAGCTCTCAATTAGAGGCAAGATAAGTACTTGTAGCAACACAAGATGCCTTTTAAAACTTTTTATTGAAGTATTTGGAGCTGTTCTCTAGATTTCTACTGGTTGATTAGAAAGCAGTTTCAGGCACCTCCTGTTCCTTAACTCATTGATCTCACTAAGGAGAAATCCATGAAAACAATGACAAACCTCTTGAATTAAACCCCAGCAACAGATTTAGTACTAAAAATCGTCTTCTGTCCTAGAACTGGAGAAATTACTTAGAAGTGATGTTAGTTAATGCAGGAATCCCTCTCCTAGTAATGAACTTTGTAGTGTGACTGCCTTTCACACATTTCATAGTAGAGTGTGTCTGATGCCAATACTGTTTAGGTCTTTTTGAAAAACTTTCTCTTGGATTAGATTTTTTTTTTCTCCAACAGCGTCTGCCTCCCTGTAAATATTTGGTGGTTGCTGTTGTTGTTATTTGCAAAACAAAATGCCAGAGAATGAAAACATTTTGATTTGGATATGCTGCTACCATGTCCACCGGGGTATATAAACCATTTTCCTTACGTACTATTTTTCTTTCATGAATGAGGTTCCTCTAACAAACTGCATAGCCAGGAAGCTTCATGATTTACTGATTTTTCTTTTCTTCAGCTAGAGAGACTGAGCTATAGAGACAAAAAAAAAAAAAAAAAAAAAGGAAAGAGGTCATTCAGATAATTTAATGACAACTAAAGGGGCCACTGTTGCCTAGGATGTTTTGGTTTTCAGCTGGCTGGAGTTTTTAGTCAGCTTTAAATTTCCTTGGTTGGCTACTTAAAGTAGGAATAGGATTTCATGCTTAAGTCGATCTAAATTGGTACTGAAAGTGAAAGAGCATATCCTGCCCCGAGACATGTACTCCCACAGCATCCATTGGGCCAATGCTCGCTAGCCCTTTCGTGGCTGCGTGGTCAGCTGGATCAGGCTGTTGTGGCTGAAGGCTAATGGTTTTCATGATGGGTTGGTGCCAGTGCCAGCCCAAGGAATCAAGGAGAGAGGGATGTTCAGGAGTGTAGGTGAGGGAGAGACCGTTCAATGTCAACGTGAATTCTAAGCCTTACTTTGAGGAGTTTTAGATAGCCGACATATGAACGTTATTCTTGAAAGTTAATGCAGTTAGTGTGTAAGATGTGAGATTCTACCTACACCCACATCAGAGACGACAGTAATATGGAATACCTCGTACTGCTTGGATATGGACCAAAGATAAGGAGAGGAAAACTCCTAGCATTATGTGTTAATAATTAGTAATAATAATTAAGGCATTTAATCTTTTTCTTGCTCTTTCATTTTGTTAAGATCTTGGACATGGCTTAGCTTATCTGGGTAGCATTAATGTTAAATATCTTTCTCTTTCAAATTTACAGGTAAAGTTTGGTGAACCACAAGATCTAGACTCTCAGGAACTATTTGGATGGATATCTTCATTTATTTGTGAGTTTAGAAAGGCCTGTGTTGATGTCATGCCATAAGGACAAAACAATTCTTATAAAGAGAAGTGCAAGAAACATTTACGTTAATAAGTTTGAAAGTTTTACTAGTATGAAGTACCACATAGTAGTATATAATCTTTATAGCAGTATACTTTGAGTTTAAGAGATACTCAGTTGATACTATATAGTTTTGTAAGTTGTACTTGACCTGTAGAATCGCAGACGATCTATAACCCTTGTCCTCGTTTTTTTAATATGTGTGCTTTTGTACCTTGAGATACTTGTGTATTTGGAACAGAGACATTCCTGACATATTATGAATTCTCTTCTAATCTTCTTCTTTGATACGTGATTTTCTGACTGAGCTGTAGCTGTCACTCTCAATGACTAAATTTCTGCATGGTGATCTAATTTTTCACTGTTTTTACTGTAATTTTTCAGATAATATTTCATAAGTTTTATAATAAAATGGGGAGCTGTTACCCACTGAGGAGAATACTGAGCAAAAATTCATGTTCCTGTTAAAGCAATGCAGCTTTAATGTGTAAGCGAGGAAGTGTTTGGCTGGATTGTTTTTTTTTTTTTTTCCTTTTTTTTCTCCAAAGAAGTACAATAAAGCAATGCTTTTTTATGGCTGATGTCATGGATTCAGGTAAAATACTACAGAAGTCAATCAATATATGAGATTTGCATTGGCAGGAAGAGAGCAATATCAGAGAGGCAAGATAAAAACTTGTCATGATGCATTTAAGTAATGGATACTGGAGATAATTATCCATACTTTTTAAAAGAGAAAATACTTCTGTTGTATTTGTTAACTTTTCCATGTTTTAAATTAGAATAATTATCTGGAGTTCAAAAATGTGAAAGGAAAAGAAAGCCTATAAATGCAGAGACAAAAAAGGACGTATTTAACCTTGAAAGTAGAAAACAGCTCTGTGAGGCCATTGATAAAATTTGGCATTTTCTCGACCGATGCTGAAAACAATGTTACTTGGGGCAAACTGTATTCCTTGACTTAATTTAGATCTGACAGCCCAATTCTCAAGAAGTTTTGGACTTTGATGGAAATGCTGAACGCTCTCCCTGACTTAAGTGCTAAAAGGAGTTAGGGCTAACTCTGAAAGGCTTAGATATACTTAAATCCAAAAGTTACATCATCAGAACCCTCTCTCATCGGGCATATAAAATTTCTCTACGTCTAACGTTTCATTTGCTGTTGCAAATGTTGCCAGTGCTGAGCACCTAGGTATTTAGAAACGACTCCGGTGAAGAACCCGGGCAACCACCAGTCAGGTGCTGCAATGCCTAAATTTTAAGTGCTTGTTCCCTATCACTCTAGACAGTAAAAGCCCTTTAAGACAACCACCAAAGATATAGAAGCACCAATGCACTGGCTGTTCTGTCTGGAAAGCAGAGATGCAAATGCCCAAGACTTTTTCTTGGCCTCAGCACTTTAAAGGTTGTAGCTAGCTGCTGCTCCTGGACCCTTAAGAGAGAACTTTTGATACTCCGTGACTAACAGCAGACCCCTATGCTAAAATAAAGAAAAGTGTTCCTGTGGATGGTGGGGCCACCATCGCAAAGGCGAGAGATCTATTTCACACCAATCACAATACACCTGCTGAGGGAAGGGGATGCAGCCGAGCTTCTGCCCACCTTCAGGCATTAGGTGCTCCATTCCCTTTGGAACCTCGCATCTGCTTCTTAGAGTAGGTGCACGTATCTTCAAAGAAGCAAGCAAGAATCATAAGTGGTCTTTTAAAATGTGAGTTTGCACTTCTAATTTGAGTAGTCGCTCAAGATGTGGAATCCTGACGAAAAGGACTTGAACCTTATAATCCACCTCTTAAAGGAGTGCTCTGGCCACCCACTGCTTTGAGATGAAAGGTGTGCTCACCGGCTGGCATTTCATTTCTGGTCAATTATTGCAAGGAAATATCTTCAAGAGGTGGTATCAAATGTTAAGAAAGTGCACTGATGAATAAAGAAGCAACTGCTCTTCCAGCTGCATCTTGTAAGAAACAAACCTAGCATCTCCTGTGAATGTCAATGGACCTCTCTGCTTAGTTTCTATGCTTTAAATCCATCCCTCCTCTCAGGGGATTTCTAAAAAGATCTTTGAGGAAGAGGCTCTAAAAAGTCTGTGTTCAGTACGCTTAATATCATTTTCAGGCACCTACTTATATATGGACACCATTTAGTGTTAGGCAGAGGCTACATGAATTAGGGGTGTGCACTTAAGCAGGCAGAAAAATATTTAGAGGTTACACATAGCCCCCTCAACCTGTAATGTCTGTCTCACTTGTGTACCTAGCACCTGGCATCCGTAAACTCTTGAATACCTACTTTACAGAAAGTGCATTGTTTTGTCTTCTCAACAATCTGTTATATCCCTAATACTAATAGTTAGTATCCCTGATACTAGTTTTACAGAAAAGTAGTTACAGAAAAATACATGGGTTTAATTTTACAGAAAACACAGTGGCTGTATTTTTCTTAAGTCGGCATCAGAACGCTGAAATCAGGTTGACACTGAAGTCAATGGGATCTATATATGTATCAGAAACTGCAGCTTAGGTCACTCTTTTCTGTTTGAAAGAGAAAAATTAAATTCCTCTCTATTTTTCTTGTGTCTCTATATTATAGTGCACTATGCAGTGCATATATGTGCACTGTAAACAACGCTTGCATTTCTGGATGTGTGGCATTTCCTCTCCAAAATCTGAGCCACCTTCATTTATATGTGAATCATGTAAAATAATCCTGAATACAAGTGCCATTTCCATGGTATCAAGATCCCTGCATCCCTGAACAGCATTCGTGATGGTCATGATCAGCTTCATGTTTTTCTACTCTTACCTTAGCTCAGGAGTCCTGGGAAGTCTCTTTTAAATAAACAGGGTTTTTTTCATGACTCACTTTTTTCCTCTAGTCTTTTTTTCACTATTATTATATCTAACAGCTTGTACTTGTTTTATAGCTCAGCTAGCATAGCCTCTTCCAATTAAAAATATATTCTACACAGTAGTCAATATCTACTACTTTGTGTGAATATCCTAGAGCATTAATTTAAAAAATTAATGTCCAAGTACCTTCTTGGCAAGAAGTTCTAGCCCCTTTAGAGAGGGTGAAGATTTCCTATTGAGTGGGAGCTTACTGAGGAGACGAGTTTCAGTTTTCTCAAACAAGACATTTCTTCAATGCCTGTGAGTTTTAGAGGCCTCCTGATTTATATATAAAAATAAAGAAAGAGACCTTGTTCCCCTGCTCAGTTTTTTCTTTTCTTTTTTTTTTTTGAATTTTATTTTTGCAGCTGTATTCATTGTATTTATATTATAATATAAATATATTGTATAATATAAATATATATTGTATTTATAGTATTTATTTGTAAAGAATGCTAATTGCCACACCTCAATATTTGTTAAGATTTATACTTATATAGGCAAAGATTCCTAGCTTTTTAAAAGTCTAAATCTCCCTGTAGATAATTTCTATAGAATTCTTCCTTAGATGCTGACAGTTTTATCCTGCAGTCCTGTAGCCAAAGCGTCAGGTTAGTATCCTGTTTTGTGGAAACTAATACCATTGGCAGCATTTCTACAAGTAACAACTTACAATAGCTTTAGTATTTTTAAGTCTGGTTATTTGTTGCCCTAAGAAAGCCCCAAAGCTTAAATTTGGCATATTATGACATAAGAAAACTTAATGTTATATAATGTAGTTCTGGGTCTCATACCCACTAAAATTAGTCTCAAGATTTCGTTAATCTGAAATAAGGCTGTGGGTCAAATGCTAGACTGATTTTTTTGTTTTTTTGACAACTCAGCTGTGAAAGAACTTCTTGCTAAAAAATGAAATAGAAATCTGTTTTGATAGTTTGTTTTCTTAAAACGCATAGTACTGGTCATATGTATAGTACTTTGGCAAGAGAAAGAGAGTGTAATTTTAGATTCACACATTATGCATTAGTTATCCCCAGCAAAAAACTGACTGAGAGAACTGCTGCAGAATTAGAGAACAACTGTAGGAAACTCTGACTTTATTCATCTGCCAGTGTATTCAAATCTGCTCTGAGAAACACCATAAGAAATGCAGCTCATAGAGGTATGGGTCACTTGACTTAAAGCCGTAAAGGAGCCTGCCTTACACATGTACCAACACTTGTAAGGGCTTTCCAAGTATTTACAGTTTGAAATACAAATGTTTTCCCCAGAGGCAGAAATTTCCCAGAGCTTACTCAAACTAAAGAACAGATGTAAAAAGCTGAGATTATCCAACACTAGATTCAGTGGAAAAATTCAAACTAAATGAAATCAACAATAACAACAACAACAACAAAATAAACAAGCAAGTAACTGCTAGGATGGTGGCTGAACTTTGCTTTCTAGCTTTCCTATTTCTTTCCTATTTGGTCTGCCAGCAGACCAGGCGACAGGAAAGGTGGTCCTGCTAATTTGTCCTGACAGCACAGATAAAAATTATTGTCACTTGGAAGGTGTTCTGTGCGTAAAAAGCTTTGCTGTCACGCAGGTATGCTAGTCTTTTAGCTTGATCTAATGCCATTCAAATGCAAACACCAACTGTAGGAGAAGAGAAAAATTATATTAGACAAAGAAAATAAAAACATGGGGTGTCTAAAAGGGAACCTGTTGGGCACTCACTGTAGAACTAAAGCCTGAAAGTATTCTTAGAAAATATTCATTCCTGTGCTTAAGAAGTTGCTGCTAATGATGACTCAGAAGAACCACAAACAAATTTCAAGCTGCTCACCTTAAAGATGAACGCATTAAAAAATTCAAACTGTGGGCTGCTTTGATGGAGTGCTGAGGGGCTCTGACTCAAACGGTGGCTCGGAAAGCTCTTGGTGATATGCTGCCCTGCGTCACTCGCTGGAAGTTTTGCTGTGGGTATTAGCAGAAGCAAGATTTCATTCCCTGATTCCAAAGAAATTTTCAGATTGCCAAAATGCTAAGCTATTAAACTCTCTCACTAAAGTAAATTAAAATATTCATTTTTTCACTGTTGCTGGTCACTATCCATACTAAAGCTTGAGCTGTCTATTTTATTCCAGGAGTAGCAACAAAGGGAGAGCTTTTTAATGAAAACTCAGACTCATGCAGGTATGAATACTCCATGCAAGTAGGATTTTTTTAGCGTTGAACGTCTATATTTCACTTCATGGCATGTTAGTGCAGCTAACATGATACATCTAGCGAGCTGACTGCGCCTTTTTGGGTATATAATAAGATGATTGCAGGGGGTGCAAATCATGCTTAAGCCTTACACTTGCTGCCTCTTTGCCCAGGGATGAATTTTACCCATTGAGAATATTTTAGTCAAGGACAGTCAGCAGTAATTAAACAACAGAAAACTACGAGGTAAATATTTCTTTAACCTCATTTTACAAATAGGATGATTGAAACAAAAGGTTTCAGATGTAGATATTAAGTCTCTGCATGCAATTTAAAAATGTAATGTGTATAGATGCATAAATATCTGACACTCCTTAATTTGTACAAGGATAAATAATTGGTCGTATATGCTATGGTGATGTCATTCACTTATAAGCATTTAACTTAAAAAAG